TTTGAATAAAAGAGTTAAGCTCATTTCTATAGATACCTGAATTGACTACCCTAGGAGAATATCTGCAGAATCTAACTTCTGATCATTCTAGGTTTGCTCAAGAATCATATCATATTTTAGAATACTTTTGACTCAAAGACTAATACTGCCTTGAATAAGGTATGTAGGCTGTCTGAATGTAATGTGGTAATGGGACTCTCTGAAGCAGACCTAAGCCAAGCTGTCAGGCTAGGGCCTAAATTGGGAAGCTTCAGTCTATCTTTCATAGTAACTTTGGGTAAATTACTTAACTCTGAAACCCGCTTTTTTTTCCCTTAAGAAGTAATGGGTAATCTGATTACTTGGAGGCTTTTTATTTATTGCCAGAGTATGTACACTTTGCAGAGAGAGAAGGGAGAAATCATCTCTTATGGGACATGGTCTGCAACTATTCCTTCTCTATGTCTTCATCCTTTTGGGATTTGGGGTATACATTCACATGTGCCCAGCATGTCTCTCAAGTCTCAGGGGCTGAAATTTAAACTGTGGCCTGCCTTATGGGATCCAGCTTCTTAAATGCTAGGCCAGGGGAACCAGCAGTTAGCGTAATGGCTATGTCGCTGGACCCCCACGTAGTCAACCACAGTTCGCGTCCCGGACCTGGTGGCTTAAAACCCACGCCGGGCGCGTGTGCGTGCGTGCGTGCCCAAGATCCCGAGAGGAGAATGGAGGAGAAGGGATTGCAGGGTGGCCATCCCCTCTGGGGGGTGATTTCTTGCTTTTTGTCTCTCTGTCTGTCTGGCGAGCACATGCGCCCTATAGTGAAAAACCTCTCAAAAAAAAAAAAATGCCAGGCCAGGGCCAGCAAGTGGCATAATGGTTAAGGCACTGTACTCCCACATGGCCAACCACAGTTTGAGTCTCAGGGACTTAAAACTCACTCCAGGCGTATGGTGTGTACATGCCCAAAATCCTAAATGGAGAACGGAAGAGAAGGGATTGCACCATGGCCATTTCCCCAGGGGATGATTTCTTATTCTCTGTGTCTCTGGAGAGCGCACATAGCCAATAACGAAAATCTCTCAAAAAGGGGGGAGGGGAGGAGATACTAGGCCACAGGGCCAGCTTAGGGGTTTCCGTCTTAGACTACATAATCTATTGTATGCTTATACCACATATGGACATTTAGGTTGCTTCCACCCCTTGACTATTGTGAATAAATGCTATAGTGAACATCAGAGTACAGATCTGTCTTCTAGACCTAACTATCAATTCATTTGGCTATATACCCAAAAGTAAAATTACTGGATAACTTGTGGATTTATATTTAATTTTTTGAAAATCTTCTATACAATTTTCGATAAAATCCACTATTTTTCAGCTCCAGTAGTCCACAGATTTCCAATTTATCTATATTCTCACTAGCACTCGTTATTTTCTGTTCTTTCCGTAGTTGCCATCCTAAGGGGGTGTGAGCTGATATCTCATAGTGGTTTTGGTTTGTGTTCCTTTTTCAGGTGCTTACTGGCCAATTCTGTATCTTTGGAAAATATTTAAGTTCTTTGCCCAATTTTTTTTTCCTTTTTTCTTTTTTTAAGAATTATTTTATTTAACTTCATTTAAATTTGACCAGAGAGAGACAGAGCAAGAGAGGGGGGAAATGAGAAAGCACACCGACAGGTCCAGGATTCAGCCATGGTTGGCCATGTGGGAGTCCAGTACCCTTAACCACCACACCACCCACCCCTTTAATTGTCTTTAAAAAAAAAATTATCCGGAGATTTGTATAAGGGAGACACGCACACCCAAGAGGACTTTCATGACGTGGTGACCCACTCCCAGCCAGCCAGGATCACAGACACTTGTATCCAACATATACATACAGACTTCTGGACCAAAACCTGGGACTTCCCATCTGGCATCAACATCTCAGAGTATTATGTGGTGCTGTGCCACCACAGCTGGCCTGATCACATGGCCTTTTTTATTTACTGTGGATGTTCATTTTTTTCTGGCTGTTAACATCGTATCAAATATGATTTGCAAATAATTTTCTCCCATTCTGTAGGTTGTCTTTTTACTCTGTTGATTGTTGCTTTTCATACAGAGGTGGGGTTTTTTTATTATTATTTGTAGTCCCTTTTATTTTTATTTTTTCTTTTTTCTTTTTTTTTTTCTTTTGTTCATGCCTTTGCTATCATATTCATGAAATCATTGCCAAATCCAGTGTCCTGATGCTTTTACTCTATGTATTCTAGGAGATTTTATAGTTTTATTTCTTACGTTAGGTCTTTGATACAATTTGAGTTAATTTTTGTATATGGTATAGTATAAAGATCCAACTTGATTCTATTATGGGTAGATGCACAATTTGCCTAGCATCATTTGTTGAAGAGACTGACTGCCCCTCTTCATTGTGCAATTTTGGCACCTTTGCCCCAAATACTTCAGTTATTTTTTAAATTACTTACATATTTTAATTTCCACAATATTCATGCACTCACCAAAGAGAAGGGGAGGGAAAGCAACTCCTCCCTCTCAGTGAGGTATGGTCAGGCTGCATTTTTTTTTTTCCCCATCTTGTTGGGATTTGGGGCATACACATACAGGTGCCTGTCATGTCTTTCAAGCCTCCAGAACTGGGATTCAGACCACAGTCAGCATTGTGCTTACCTGCTTCATCACAAGATTGATCCCTAAATTACTTGCCTTTTCCCCTCCCCTCAAGTGTGTGTGCTCTCACTGGAGAGAGGGAGGGAGGCAGAGAGGCAGAGAGGGAGGGTTAGAGAAAGTGAGGACTCTCTCCTGGGTATAGACATGCTGCAGTCCCTTCTCCAAGTCTCCTCTTGGGGTTTTGGGGCATGCATGCACACTTAACCCAGTGTGTTTTTGAAGCTGCCAGGTCTAGGGCTCAAACTACTCGTTTGGACATGTGGGATCTAGCTACCTCAACCACCACACTATGGGCTAGCTCTAAATTACTTACTTTTTACTTTGAAAAGAGTTGGTCATTTCATGTTTTATTGATTCGGATAAAATTACTGTTAGTACTGTTCTATTCTAGGATACAAACATCTCAAAAGGATCTAGTCTTAGCTTTATATTTGTCCATTTTACTTATCAAACTCTGCTTAAAAATTGCAGTATTGTAATAATAGCAAAGACTGGCAAAATAGACCAGTTTTGTGAAATAGACATAATACAAACTAGTAATTATCAGTCTCAGTGTAGCAAGTTTGGGAAGAAAACACAGGCACCTTTTACCATCATTATCGAGCCCATTGTGACATCAACTTGATACTGTCTGATGTTGAAATCATGTAATTCAGGATGTTTTTCAGTCAGCTATATAAAACACCTTGCTTTCTCTGTCATTAATTTAAACAGAAGCAGGGCGCTTGAAAACAGGAACCAGCAAACCTTCTGCAAAGGTCCAGAGAATAACTTGTAAGTTTTGTAAAGCAGTCTGTGTTGCAACTGCTCAGCTCGGCCCTTGGAGGAAGAAAATAACCCTAACACAATATATAGTGGAATGGATGTGGCCATGTTTCAGTAACTTTATTTACAAAAGCGGGCCTGTTTTCTTCCATAGAAATGTAAGAAAATAATGTTGTGCTGCACCAGCATGGTGGTTAAGGTGGATGAGTCCCACATGGCTTATGAAACAGTTTCCTGATCCTAATAACTTGAGAAACATGCCAGATGTGTGTGCTTCCCAAAATCCTAAGAGGAGAATGGAGAAGGAATTGGGATGTGGCCATCCCCCAATTAGAGGTGTTTTATTGGTTTCTTTCTCTCCACTTGGGACATGCACCCAATTGCAAGATTAAGAAAAGAATGATTTGTAGCAGTTTTAGAGTTGGTTCTTTCACTTTTCTTTTATGTGCATGTATAGCATTATGTTGGTTTAAGCTTTTCTTTTGTGTATGTGTACTATAGGGCACATGTGCTCACCTGAGAGAGGGAATATGAGAGAGAGCACACTCCCAGGGGAATGACCGTACCATTGAGATTTGGGGCATACATGTACATGTGCCTGGCATGTTTTTTAATCCACGAGCTGGCCATGCGTGATATATGTCATCAAAAAAGCCATGACATTTTTTATATGCAAAAAAATGCACCTAGACTTTCTCAATGACCCAATAGCTGGGTGCCCAGCTCATGTGCATGTTCAGAATCCTGATGATTTAGAGAAATGGAGAAGGGGTCACTGCATGACCACCTGCTGGCCCCTAAACTACTTTTCTTTTAATTCCAGAGGGTATGTTGTGCATGAAAGAAAGGGTGATGGAGAAAGCACCTCCCAACAAGGCCTAGACACACTTTCAATTCCCTTCCCTTACGCACAGCACTTACCAATGTTGTGCAATCCCTTCACCTCTGGGGATCCTGGGCACCAAGCATGAGTTTCAAGTCGCTATCGAGATTTGAAGCTCGGTAGACTGTAAGAGTCCGGCAACATAACCATTATGCCATCTGCTGGTCTTGTAACTTACTAAGATTTTCAAGTGGAACAGTAACAGTTTATTTTAACAAAATGGTAAAACAATCACAAAATTCTAGCTGGATTGTTTGGTATTATGCTTGTTTTTTGATGTAAGAGAATAAAACATTCTGGTACTGCCCATAGTGTTGGATTTCTCTTAAAAGGTGTCATCTGGATAAGAGACCTGGCAAATATTAAGGGCTTTAAAATATCGTCTAGCCTTTAATCTGGCAATTTTAAGCTGTTCTATGGAACTATTTTTCAGTTGTCTCTTTTTAGTGTGCATGCTAATGAAGGGAAAACATTTAAAGTAAGGTTTAAAAAATTGTGAATTTGAAAGGTACATATGCTATTATGGCTTGAATTTATTTATCAGAAGTGAGTTACTGGAGTTCCTTGTTTTTAATGGGCTCTAAAAGACTACAAGAAAAAAGTCTTAATTGGAAAATTTGTTGAAGTGTGAGAGCTTTGTAATTTTTGAGAGTGGGCAAATACTATTACGAATTCATTGTATTTTTTTTGTTAATAATAGATCTGAGTGGGACATACTTTTGAAGGATGTGCAATGTTCAATCATAAGTGTGACAAAAACTGACAAGCAGGAAGCTTATGTACTCAGGTAAGTCTTATCAAACAATTGTCAGCCAGGTTCATTCTAACCATAATGTGATGTGAAATATCCAATTGTTCTCAAGTTTGGGGTAAAAGCGAATAAAGAATTTTTTTTCTTTTTAATGTTTTTTGAGAGAGATGTTTTTGCTATGGGGTGTGTGCCCTCGCAAGATAGACGGGGACAGACAGAAAGAGAGAAATCACCTAGGGAGTATGGCCATGCCGCAACCCTTCTCCTCCAGTCTCTTCTTGGGATCTTGGGCATGTATGCACTCACACCTGGCCTGAGTTTTAAGCCGCTGGGTCTGGGACTTGAACTGCAGTTGACTACTTGGGAGTCCAGTGAAGTAACCATTACACCATCTGCTGGTCCCCAGAATTTTTTTTTAAAAGAATTATTTAATTTTATGTATGTATTCACATATTTTTAAAAATTTAACCAGAGAGAGAGATACAAGAGAGAAAGAAAGCAAACCACCAGATCCGGGACTCCAACCATGGTTTGCCATGTGGGAGTGTCTAGTACCTTAACCACCATGCCACTTGCTGGTGTTTCCCACCCCCCGAATTATTTTTAATATTATGAGAGTATAAAGTAATATATTGGTGATTCTGGTATTATAGGTAATAGGATTTGAAGGAAACCTTACCTAACAAGTTTGTATAGGTTTACTAGGTTATTAGCGAAGTTGCCATTCTTCCCTTGAAGACGTTATTAAAGAAAGCTAGGCTGGCATACGTTCATCTTTACCCAGTTTCGCCAAAGTGTAAATGGGCTTAGTAAATGAATAGGATTGCCATTCAACTTTTTATAAAAGGATAATTTTTTTGGTGAGTATTTTGAATGCTTTATATGTATATATTGAGACAGGCCTTGGGGCTATTGGATTGAACAAGGTACATAAGGTCACTGCTTTTCACTAAGCTCACATTTGGTATATACAGGTGTTTATCAAAATACTATGTACCTAGCCCTGGGGATATAATGGTGAGTAAAGACAAACATTACTTTCCTCATGAAGCTTATTATCTAGTGAAAGAAATAATGAGATGATTACATAAATAACAGGTAAGTGGATGGTACAAGATGAGGTAGGGTGTAAGTGTAGTGAATCACGTCAGGCATATAACAGTGACCCTTTGCTAGACTATTGTTCATAATTAGCTATCTGAAAGCTTTTATATTCACGTGTTTGTGAATATCCTGTGTAACAGAAGCATAGATCTTCTGACATTCTCAAACGATATTAACTAGTTACAGATAAATGGAGGATTGTGTGTTATCAGCTAACGTGCTTTATATCTACTTCAAAGCCTGTTGCTGTGGGGTTCTTAAACTGGTATTTTGGTAAAATAGAGAAAATACTATATATTGGGTTGTTGTAAAAGTCAAGATATATCTTGTTTTTCTGTGCAAAAATGCATCATGACTTTTCTGATGACCCAGTAGTAGTACATTACAATTATAAGTACTAGCCAAAAATTATAAATGAGAATCCAACAATATATTAATCCTATCATTTATACATAAATATCAGTATAATATTGTGCCTTTTTTTGATTGCAGTGAGAGTAGCATGTTTGTCTCCAAGAGACGTTTCATTTTGAAGACATGTGGTACCACCCTCTTGCTGAAAGCACTGGTTCCCCTGTTGAAACTTGCTAGGGATTACAGTGGGTTTGACTCAATTCAAGTAAGTAATCCAAAGTACATTTTCTCAGATGTAAATGTTAGGGCTCGTATGCTGTGGTATGCCTGTGGTAAATTTATATACTTCTCCTTTTTTTTTTTTTTTTTTTTTTTTTTTTTTGAGGTATTTTTCATTTACTCGCCAGTACACCCATTGAAAGTATGTCATTGTGAGTTCAGACAGACAGAGAGAGACATAGAGACAGAAAGCGAGAAATCACCCCCCAGGGGGGATGGTCACGCTGCAATCCCTTCCCCTCCATTCTCCTCTTGGGATCTTGGGCACGCACGCACACGCGCCCGGCGTGAGTTTTAAGCCACCGGGTCCGGGACACGAACCGCGGTCGACTACGTGGGAGTCCAGCGACATAGCCATTACGCTAACTGCTGGTTTCCTCCTTTATAATGCATAAGAGTGTGGTAAGACGTTCAAATCACAGGAGAAAAAGAACTGAAATGTTGACTCCAAAAGGAGTAGAAAAAATAGAAGCAAGGAATAAATTGGAGAAAAAAAAGAGAATAAATTGGGATGGAATTCAGCTAAGAAGAAAGCGATTGTGAAGGCAGAAAATTCTAATAATTTCTCAACACAGGTACTATAAATAGAGAAGCAGTAGAAAAGAGAAGGGAAGGCAAGAAAATGTTTACATTATCCAGTCTTCGTAATGAAGAGTTTAGAGTCAGTCAGTCGAAAGCAAGAAATCACCTCCCAGAAGGTATGGCCATGCCACAACCTCTTCTCCATTCTTCTCTCCGGATCTTGGGCACGCACGAACACACCCATTGTGAGTTTAAACCACCAGGTCCGGGACTCAAAAAACTGCAGTCAGCTATATGAGAGTTCAGTGACACAACCATTAAGCCAACTGCTGGTCCCTTAACTGTCAATATTGAGTTAATTTTTAAAAATTATTTTATTTAACATTATTCATTTTATTTATTTATTTATCTTACTTTAATTTGACCAGAGGAGGGACAGAGTGAGAGTTCGAAAGAGGGAGGGAAAGCGCGAAAATGCACCAGGTCTGGGACTCAAACCTTAGTCATCCATGTGGGAGTCAGTGTCTTTAACCACCATGCCACCTGCTGGTCCCAATATTGAGTTAAATTTTGACAGTTTTTAAAAATTAAGGTGTTTCTATTTAGAGGGGTTTTATTTATTTATTTCTCCCCCTCCCCCCCCCCAATGGTGATACTATAATTTCTTCTCCATCCTTTCGGGGTTTGTGGCACACATGCACGCACCCATTTTAAGCTTCCAGATCTCGGACTTGAACTGCAGTTGGATGCATGGGGGTCTAGCAACATAATCATTATGCTGTCTACTGATCCCAGAGTATAATTTTCTGATGAGTCAGTGGGTTATTTCATGTCATAAGGAAAGGATAGATTATCATTAGGATCCTAATACAGTTTTGCTACTTTTAATCCTTATAAGAAATTTAAGGTGATGTATGCTTAACAAATTGGATCACTGACTTAAAACTAAATGTATGGGGGCTAGCAGGTGTTGGGGTGTTAAGGCACTGGATTCCTGCATGGCTAACTGGTTTAATCCTGAACTGGCTACTTGGTAATTAGCTGTTTGCTTGTTTGTATGTGTGTGCCCAAAATTCCAGGGGAAGGGATGATAGAGTGGCCATAATAATAATAAATAAAAGTAAATAAAGTAATTCTTTTTGTTTTTTTTAGAGAGAGAGAGAGAGAGAGATTTTTGCTATAGGGCACGTGCACTCTCCAAACAGACAGAAAGCAAGAAATTACCCCCCAGGGGGGATGGCCACACTGCAGTCCCCTCTCCTCCATTCTCCTCTTGGGATATTGGGCACACATGCCCATTGTGAGTTTGAAGCTGCTGGGTCCAGAATTTGAACTGTAATTGACTACATGGGAGTCCAGCAATGTAACCATTTCGCCATGTGCTAGTCCCAAATAAAATCATTATTAGAAAAGGAAAAAAATACACTATTCTAGAAAGAAACATACTCTGTCTCTGTAATTATTAGAGAAATCATCAGAAACTGAGCATTTTATTCACTATTCCAGAATTTTTTAAAATTACAGTATTTGGAGCCAGCAGGTGGCACGAAGGTTGAGGTGCTTCATTTCACATAGCCAGCTTCATGGTTCAAATCCCAGACCTGGTGACTTAAGGATTACCCCAGGTATGTGTGTGTGTGTATGCAAAAAATCCTCAGAGGTGAGTGGAAGAGAAGGGATTGCAGCATGGCCATCCCCCCAGGGACTGATTTTTTACTCTCCCTCTCTCTGACGAATACATGTACCCTTATAGCAAAAACACTTTTCATAAAATTGGCAATATTTAAAATATACATGAATGCAAGATTAAACTAGAATCTGCTGAGATAACTTGTGCATGCTTAGAAGTTGCTAATTTTTGACATGTAGAAGAGTTTAGAAAAAGTGATAACATTCTGTGTCCTTTTAAAAATTCTTTTATTTATCATTATCTTTAATTTGACCAGAATGAGACAGACAGAAAGCAAGCCACCAGGTCTGGGACTTGAACTGTAGTCATCTATGTGGGAGTCCAACACCTTTAGCCATCATGCTAACCAGCCAGCCCCTAATTCTGTGTCTTAAATTTACCTATTTGTCTTTTCTTTCTTTCTTTTTAAGAGCTTCTTTTATTCTCGTAAGAATTTCATGAAGCCTTCTCACCAAGGGTACCCACACCGGAATTTCCAGGAAGAGATAGAGTTTCTTAATGCAATTTTCCCAAGTAAGTAGTATTTAAACTTGTTTTCTTAGAGTATCTAACTTTTTGGAGATCTATTAATATATGTGAGCATATTTATGCAAGTATAACATACTATATTTACTTTTCTTTCCTACTTTTTCATTCCACTGTGGCCACGCCACAGTCCCTTCTCTTCTCCATTCTTCTTTCAGGATTTTGGGCAGGCACACACATGCACCTGGTGTGTTTTCAGACTGCCATGTCAGAGTCAGCTCTGTGGGATCTAGCACCTTATCCACCTGTTGGCCCACCTAAGTGTATTTCAGTAATGGCCAGAAATCAATTTATGTATTTATTTATTTTGTTAAATAAGGGTTTGGAAGAATCCTGCTGGAATTCACCCACTTATATTTCCCTTCACTGATGACATAGGTGACAGGCAAATGTTGATTTATCATCTTGTTTGTTGGAAGGTAATATAAGCCATTTTGTGAAGTGGATGTTTATTTTATATTCTCTTTCCTCAACAGATGGAGCAGCATATTGTATGGGACGTATGAATTCTGACTGTTGGTATGTTCAATGTAATTTTGTGAGATTATGTTTTCTATATATGTTTTTTAAAGTTGCCAATTATCATTTTTACAAATTACTTTTTTAACTTTATGTAGGTACTTGTATACTCTGGATTTCCCAGAGAGTCGGGTAATCAGTCAGCCAGATCAAACCCTGGAGATTCTGATGAGTGAGCTTGACCCAGCAGTTATGGACCAGTTCTACATGAAAGATGGTGTTACTGCAAAGGATGTCACTCGTGTAAGCATTTTCAATAAAACTTCTTTTTAGATAGGCTAGATTATGGCACAGTGGTAACACAACTGAACCCACATGGGAAGGTATCCTAGGTTTGTACCCCAAGGCTTCTCTGTACATACCAGGTGTGAGTGCCTCCAGTCCTGGCTAGCTAAGGCTGAAGAGGTGGATTGTAGCAGGAAGACCCTGTTGGATGTGGGGAAGGAAATAGTGAACATGAAAAAAAGAATTATTGCTGGATTCCATCTTTGGTCTTTTTTCCAGGAGAGTGGAATTCGTGACCTGATACCAGGTTCTGTCATTGATGCCACCCTATTCAATCCTTGTGGGTATTCAATGAATGGAATGAAATCGGATGTAAGTAACTATATCTTGATTCAGTAATTCCTTAAGTATTTAAATTTGTCTTCCATTATTAACAAAAATCTATTTTTTCAAAGGGAACATATTGGACTATTCACATCACTCCAGAACCAGAATTTTCTTATGTTAGCTTTGAAACAAACTTAAGTCAGACCTCCTATGATGACCTGATCAGGAAAGTTGTGGAAGTCTTCAAGCCAGGAAAATTCGTGACCACCTTGTTTGTTAATCAGGTAATTTGATTTTTTACTGAATAAAATCCTTTAAAAAATGAGGATAATTAGGCTTGTCATAGTTTAAGGGGCCCACATGGTAAAGCAGCAGTAATGCAAAACCACAAGGCGGATCCACATGGAAAGGTTCTAGGTTTACATCAGAAGACTTCCCTGTATGCTTTATACCCATCATCTGGGGTTAGAAATAGATCGAGGCATTGCGACTCTTATCGCATATCAGGCTTGCTGACAGACTTTTTTTTTTTTTTTAAAAGATATATTCTAGGATGGTACACACCTAGTCACTTAGCTGTGGAGAGATACTGCTGCTAACTGTGTTTGCTGGTAGATGGTAGATGAAGAGCTTCAAGTATCTCATAAGATTTCAATCAGTCCTTGTTATATGTCTCACCCAATTAATGAGCTTATTGTCCTATTTATTTTCCCTGTGGACAGGCTTAGTAGGGGGGTCTGTAGAATGCCTTACCCCATCTAGCCCTAAGGAAGGCAGCTAAACTAACTCAGATGCTATAGTTTTGTTAAGATGGAGTCTACTTATTGTGTAACTGTTTTGTTTGAGATACTTCTGCAGATTGGAAGCATTAATGGTTATTTAAATTTTTTTCCCCAGAGTTCTAAATGTCGCACAGTGCTTTCTTCACCCCAGAAGATTGAAGGTTTTAAGCGTCTTGATTGCCAGAGTGCTATGTTCAATGATTACAATTTTGTTTTTACCAGTTTTGCTAAGAAACAGCAACAACAGCAGAGTTGATTAAGAAGAATGAAGAAAAAACGCAAAAAGAGAACACAAGTGGGTGGTGGTGGCTGCTTTCTAGATGTTGATACCGGGGGCCCTGTTTTCCATAGCCACCACCTTGTAGTTGCAGAAAGCCCTAGATGTAATGATAGTGTAATCATTTTGAATTGTATGCATTATTATATCAAGGAGTTAGATATCTTGCATGAATGCTCTCTTCTGTGTTTAGGTATACTATGCCACTCTTGCTGTGAAATTGAAGTGCATGTAGAAAAAACCTTTTACTGTATGAAACTTTACAACACTTGTGAAAACAATTCAATTTGGTTTATGCACAGTGTAATATTTCTCCAGGTATCGTCCAAAATTCCCCACAGACAAGGCTTTCGTCCTCATTAGGTGTTGGCCTCAGCCTAACCATCTGGGACTGTTCTATTGCTGCCAGAATTTCACATACAGTTACCTCCACTTTTTAGAACATATTCTCTACTAATGTTATTGAAACCAATTTATACTTCATATAGATGATTTTTTGCAACAGCAATTAAAGTTTTTCTTCCATGAGTCGAGTCCTCTTAAGAAAATGATTCCAGTTACTCAGTCTGTGTATTATGACTCTAACGTTATTGTCCCTATGTTTGTAGTCCCTCAGTTGACTTCTTCCCTCATCATGGTGTCTTTCCCCCAGCCCCCCCAACCAAAGCAATACACTGTTACACTATGGGTTTATATATTAATCTTATACCCCAGATAAGGGAAATGAGGGATGGTTCCTGGACTTAATTTCCTTTTAAGAGCATAGAAATTTGGCCTCATTTTTATTGACATGGGTTCTTTTGTTGCAAGGTAGTGATAAACATCTCTGGTGTTGATTAGCAGGAAACACTCTAGAGAATTTTAGATTAAGATTAGAGTGTAATGGCTCAGCTGTGGAAACCTAATGCTATTCTGTGCTTCTCAGTAAATGAGATTAACTTCTAATGAGTACCATGCCTTTACTAATTTGCTAAGTAGTAGTATAAAAGGATTTTTATCACTAAGTTGATTAGCAGGGAGATTTAGCATAAAGGTTGTATTGGCTTTGATAAGTCAAATCAGATTGTATTGTTCCCTTTAACAGCCGTTTCCACTAATTTCCATTAATAGCATACTTTAAACTTTGGTTCAAAGCAGAATCAATGTTAATCATCTTGTGACTTAAAAGTTCTGTGACTTTGTGATGCATGTGAGTGTTCCAGCTTCATCTTTTTGTCTGGTGTTCTTTCACCATGACATTCAAAAGATTAAATGAATAACTGCCCAGAATCAGAGTTGTCCAGGTTATTCAAATATAAACCATGAAGTGGATATATAAGTAAATATGCCATGCAAAAATCAAAACTGTTCTATGAAAAATAAGAGTATAGGCTTTGAAGAGTTGGGCATCTTTTATGCAAATACTGTGGGACTTAAGGCAACTGAGAACAGCAAAGTTGAATAAATTCTGTACTCATAATTTTTTTTGATAATTTCTGGATTGATGCAGTGGTGTTTTTGTTCCTTCTATATTTGTAAATGAAACACCTTTTTAGTGTTTCTAAACAAAATCTACTTGGTTTGAAATCAAGTGGTTGGAACACTATTTAGACTTTTATTTTAAGCATTTTGAAAGTTTCATTGAGGGAAGCTTTCAATCAGTGCATTCAGTTTGATTCTGTAATGAGCAGAGCTCCTAATATATTGAGGTGTTCTGTTTTGAGGACGAGTGCTCAAAGTGGATTTTGTTCGTGAACAGTATCCCAGTAGATTTGATGACAGTTGTTGACTTGAGGGCTGATTTTTTTTCTTTGTAATAGATATCAGAATTCTAATACTGAAAACCTGCAGATTTGTGTGAAACGAAGCCTAAAGAAGTGAAAACTACAGATTGAATAGTAATCCTAAATTAATCCTAGTATGATAGCGGAGGAAAAGTTTCAGTGCCATAATTTCTCCCTTCATTGGTGTTGGACTTAAATCAGTTGAAATGTATTTCTGTACCACAATTTAAGCTTCAATAAAAGTTTGCTTAATTAATTGTCTAGTGACATTCAGGAAATTTTCTGTTTATATGTTTTTCTATAGTCTACTTGACCAAATACTGTACATCTGTAGTCTAACATTGGAATAAGGATATTTAAGTTTAGAGTTATAGGAGTCAAAAGTTTGAAGGTGAAAGGTTCCAAACTTTATTAGTTTTTTAAAACATGGGATGAGCATGATCAAAAGTCTATGCCTTATTATATTTGTGGTGGTTTATATTAAACGAGAATGAATTTATAAGCCTGGTTATTTTGCCATGCAGGCACATGTCATCATTTGGCAAATATCAGTTACAAAGACAGCCTAGAAAAGCAAAATAGCATATAATACCTACTTTACAAGGTCCATTTAAAGGGAAAAGATGGGGTCAACTCCCTGGCCTGGTCAGGCAGCCAGATCCCACATGGCAGACCAACATGGTTCAAACTGAAAAATATGCCAGACATATGTGCGCATGCCAGAAATCTTGAAAGCAGGGAGAAATGAACAAGGGCTTGTGGCATGAATGTGCCTCACTGGTGGGTGGGTGCTTTCTCTTCTGTTTCTGTGACTAGCACACATACTTCCTTGTAGATTGAAAACAGTTTTAAAGGAAGCAGGTAAATGAGGCTCACTAATGAGCAGTCATGTGTTAAAGGTTTTACATCCTTCTGTCATAGGTACACAGGGTAAGTGAGATAGAACATTGGTTGGATGGATACTTTTTGCCAGTTCCTTCCATTTCTGACTTCCTATCTTCAGACTTAATGTTCTCATCTACTTTTCTCTTTCTATTATAACAGAAGAGGTGCTACTACTTTTGATTACATCCCTTGAGAGACTATTCCATGAGTTCTGTTATTTGTATTTCAGTCTGATACCAAGTTGTGAATTCAGATCACTTTCTTAAAATATTTTTATTACTGTTTTACTTCATTGTTTTTCCTCCCACTTTCCTTTGCTTCTTTTTTGGCTCATCCACAGGCCTCTTTGCTACTCCCTTGAATGATTCAAGTGTCCAAATTCTTACTCTATTATCTACTATTTTTCTGGATCTTCAAAACAGAAACCTGTGATGAAGATGAAATAAGGTCAAAGCTAGAGGTCTGATTTAAAGATGGTAAGAAAACCATTGAAAGGAGGTGTCAAGGGCTAATTAACACGTCTTTGAGTTTATAGGCCAAGGACTTTTTTTTTTTTTGGAGAGATTTTCACTGTAGGGCGCGTGCGCTCGCCAGACAGACAGAGAGAGACATAGAGACAGAAAGCGAGAAATCACCCCCCAGGGGGGATGGTCACGCCACAATCCCTTCTCCATTATCCTCTTGGGATCTTGGGCACACATGCACACACGCGCCCGGCGTGAGTTTTAAGCCACCGGGTCCAGGACGCGAACTGCAGTCGACTACGTGGGAGTCCAGCGACATAGCCATCATGCTAACTGCTGGTTCCCTAGGCCAAGGACCTTTTAAAGAATTACTTTATTTAACTATGTTTATGTATTTTTAATCTGACCTGAGATGGACAGAGAGAGAGAGAGCGAAGGTGAGAAAGCAAGCCACTAGGTCCAGAACTTGAACCATGGATGGCCATGTGGGAATCCAGCACCCTTAACCACATGCCACCTCCCAGCCCCAAGAAAACAGATTTATGAATACCATCTCGTGTAAATTTTTCAACTACAGTATGCAAGAAATAGTACGTTGGATTTTTTTTTTTGAGAGGTTTTTGCCATAGGGCGCATGCACTAGACAGAGACAGACAAAAGCGAGAAATCACCCCCCAGGGGGGATGGCCACGCAGCAATCCCTTCTCCATTTTCCCCTCGGAATCTTGGGCACTCACGCACACACCCGGCATGAGTTTTAAGCCACCGGGTCCGGGATGTGAACCGCAGTTGACTACATGGGAGTCCAGCGACATAGGCATTATGCTAACTGCTGGTCCCAGTACATTGAATCTATATACCAGCTTCAACCTAACATTCTATTTGGCACATCTACATTTTTAGGTAAAACTTAAATTGAAATACACAAATCTTTTTTTAATATTTAATTCATTATTTAATTTAACAGACAGGGAGGGAAAGTGAGGAAGCAAGCCTCCAGGTCCAGGACCTGAAATGTGGTTGGCAATGTGAGAGTCCAGTGCCTTAATAACTGCCACTTGTTGGCCCATGACCTTTATTATTGCTGAGTAGAAGTCCACTATGAACATAAACCTCAGTTTTCTTGTTCATAAACATTTTTTTTGGTATGTAGTTTTTTTCAGATAAGTAAAGCTGCTGTGAGCATGCACACAAGTAGTATTGTGGCTTTGGGTGTGTAAATCTGAGCAAACATGGTGACCTTTAGAAGGAGAAACATGGTTCTGCAAGCTGTAGTTTACATAGCTATGAAGACAATTTGCATGTGAATATACTAGCTGCCTGAAACTGCAGGGCAGTATCTGTCTTAAGGAAACCACATGTGTTTATCAGAATTTAGCTCCAAGAGATCAAAGAAACTACATAGCATGCCTGTTGTCTTCGCATCTTCAGCTGATTAACATCTGAAAACAGCTGACTTTGGGTTCCATTTTCCTCTTTTCCTATTTTCTGCCCTTTAAAAGAACAAACCTGAAGGACCAGCAGTTGGCATAATGGCTATGTTGCTAGACTCACAAGTAGTTAACTGCGGTTCAAGTCCCGGACCCGGTGGCTTAAACACACCAGGTATGTGTGTATGTGCCCATTCCCCTCTCGAATGGAGGAGAAGGGATTGGGATGTGGCCATCGCCCCTGGGGGGTGATTTCTTTCTGTCTTTCCACATCGCCCCTGGGGGGTGATTTCTTCCTGTCTTTCTGGCTAGCGCACAGTGCCCTATAGCAAATACCTCTCCAGGAAAAAAAAGAACAAGCCTGAAACTAGTCTGGGTCCAGGGTCAGCAGCTATATCCAATCCTCCCTTTTCTATACTTGTAGGTCTTTATGTTTATTTCTAATCCACAGCCCTCTCCCCCTCAGAAAAACACTGCTGATGAGCCCCAGCATGTTGCAGTATCTCATGGCTTTAAACTGCATTTCTCTATTGATGAATGTGAAGATATACTGTTAGTATATCTTTAAATGTGTATCTTAAAGTTAGGTGGTTTTATTACTGTATTGTAGGAATATTGGGTGCAAGTTCCTTGTTGGTTATTTGCAAATACTAGTTTTGTCAGGAAAGTCATGTAATTTTTGCATAGAAAAATATATCATGACAACCTAATATTTTCCCCCAGTGTTCGCTGTTAACTTTGTTTTCTATGCAGTTTCTTCATGAGTTTATTTTCAGTAAAGTGATTTTTTTGTTTTTAGTTTGTTTCATTAACTTGCCAGAAGGCTTCTGTACTCACCAAACAGAGAGAGAGAGAGAGAGCAGCTTCCATGGAGAATGGTCATGTTATAATCCTTTCTCCATTTCTCCCTCCTTAAGTGATCTTAGGCTTGTAGGCATAGGACACAGGCTAGCTATATGGAGTCTTATCAATTTTTTAAATCAACCTTTCTCTGTCTGAACAAATCTCCTTATCCCCCCAGATTTAGGTGTGTGTGTGTGTGTATGTATATAGTATTTTGGTTTTGCCAGAGGGTGTGCACACTCAACAGAGAAAGCATCCCCACAACAGAGCACAGTCATGTCAGTCTCTTCTCCAGTTTTTCATTCTGTTGAGATTTGGGTATCTGGCTTCCTTCACCAGTTGGCCATGGAGTAACCCCTGTTTTGTATATTTCTATGAAAACATTAAAGTAGGCTTTTCAATTTCTATTAAAAGTGGTGTGAGATAGACAGGGACCCTAAAAATATAGTTATGGTATAGGCTGAATCACAAAATGTCTAAGTTTTAAGATGGAGACAAAGCAGCCCATCTGCTTGCTCAGAGGTCTCTTAGATTGACCTAGGCGGCATGACCTAGACCTAAAAAATGGCTTTTTCCATGTCCCACCACATTCTAGGAGAAAAGTAAGATACAGTTTTTATAGCACAAAGCCTCTAGACAAATCTCCTAACCTCCTGACTTCAAAGTTAGGAGAAGAAAAACGGTCCATCTAGCATGTGTTCCCCACCACCACAAGGGAAGTTCATCCCTGAGCCCTACCTAGAACAAGCCTGAACAAGGCCCATCTGACCCAGGTAAAAGCCCCTCACCCCAATTCCTCCTCGGCAACTCATTTTCCAGGACTCCTCTAGGAGCTCTGCTTTTCCTTCCGTCTTTCAATAAACGGGACTTTGCTATACTTACTGTCAGTCTGTAATTCTTCCTGAGAGTGGGACAAGAAACTATGTCTCACTGCAAGTCCTGGGCCTGATCACCCCTTCACCCCTGTATTCTGGATCAGTGGAATTAAGACAGAGGGTGCCACCGGGTCTGGGACTCGAACCGTGGTCGACTACATGGGAGTCCAGCAACATAACCAGTGGCTAAAGGTGCTGGACTCCTACATCCCGGACCTGGTGGCGCTCGCGCTCTCGCTCGCTCGCTCTCTCCCTCCCTCCCTCCCTCCCTCTCTCCCTCTCTCTCTTCCTCTCTGGTTAAGTTAAAATAAGTAAATAAAGAAGTAATTTAAATAAAATCTTTAAAAAAGAAAACAGGTTAGGTCAAGGGGCCAGCAGATAGTGGTTTCATCGCTGGACTCCCACATGGATGATTGCTGTTCTGAGTCCTGGACCTGGTGACTTCAAACACCCTGGGCATGTGTTTGTGCCCAAGATCCCGGGAGGAGAATGGAGGAGAGAATGGAGGAGAAAGGATGGCAGTGGGGCCTTCCTCCTGGGGGTGATTTCTCACTTTCACTCTCACTGTCTCTGTCTCCCTGGCCTGCACATGCAGCCTTGAAAAGGCCAAATGTTTAGGTCAATATGCGGAGAACTGTTTTCTTAGTAATACTGAGCCCTCTAACCCATGTTATAAAGTGGAGGGGATGTCAGTCTTACTTGCGAAGGGGGTAGTTTGACTTGAGACCCCACTATTATTATTTTGAGAGGTTTTTGCTAT